AAGAAGAAAGAATGAAAGAATGAAAGAAAAGCAAAAAGAAACAGCCTTCCTTTCCCCATGCCATACTCCACCACATTTCTTTTTGGTGTAGGTCTCCTTTAGAGGAAACTCTGGTCTTTCTTATAGTGAAGGGCAGATAGAGGAAATTACATAACCATTTCAAGCTAGGCTATGATATTGTTGCAAAATTCTGTTTTTGAGTATAAAGCCAAATATTACTGTCATTCTCTCTGTGTTCCTTGTAACAAGTCTCTTCCTCTCCTTCCTCCACCAGCCCAACTGGATGGCTGTTACAAGTCAAGGAGGCAAGTTTGTAAGTTTAGAGAAAGAGAACAAAGATAACATTTGTTAATAAATCCACAAATACATAAAACATTTCACAAATGCAATGTAGCACATCTCTTAATGTATGTTTCCGCGGAGGGAATGGGTATCATAGAAGGAGAGGGAGTTGGCTCAATTTGGCAAAAGTGCTCCAACCATAGAGACCCAGAGGGTACCTTCAAGAGCCCTGCTGTGTTTCACGCTGGTGAATGGAAACACTGCAGGCTTCCCTTGGGGCTGATACATCTGATGGCGGACTTTGCTTTGCTCTGTGGGAACATTTTGCTCCTTTTCCCTTTCTTGGATGCCCTGACAGTGGTGTCTACCTTCATTTTTCCAATTCTAGCTTCAACAACTGAATGATTTAGTCTTGGAAACCTCAGGAAAAGGCTGATCGGTGTTCTCTTACTCCTTAGTTGCTCTGGGTACAAATGCACAATGGAAGATAATTGTGTGTGTGAGAATTTCTAAAGTTTTTGTATATTGGAATCATTTGTTTCAGTTAGTATATATTTATTGAGCACTTCATTTATGGAATTTCCAATTATGTGTGATAGTGAACAAATGTAGCGTTCACATACATCTCATAGTGTATAGTGAGTGTCTACTGCTGTGCTGAGTTCATGCTATTCTGGCTGTTCCCCTGCTTTAGCTTGAAGTAAAATGTAACACTGGAAAGCGGTGTTGTTATAGCGACGAACACTGGTTCAGCCTGGCAGGGGAGTTCAAGCCTCTGTCACCTCTGTCAATTGTATGACCTTAGGCAAAAACACCTATCCTTGTTGTAGTTTATTGTTCCTTGGAAGAGAAACAAGGTCCTTCCTCACCAAACTGTCCCTGGTCAGAGTAAATGTATCCTGAGCAGCTAAGAGTACAGTGAGACAATGCATATAAACTCCCAAACACAACCATGCCATTTGCATTATCGAGCTTTTGCTGTAATTATCATAAACACCTTGAGGTTTAAAAATGCTGAGGAATCATCTTTTGTACTTTCTACAATATGCCCTCATTTGATATTCACCACAAAGCAGTGTCACTGCACTTTCTGGAATAAACTGTATTCTCTTTGGATTGCTCTTTGCAGCCCATCTCATCCATCATCTCTGTGACTCGACAACTAACTGCGTATGCTAGGTGCTCAGTCTTCCCGTGTGAATGGATCTGTATTTTGCAGATGAGGAATGTGGTACCCAGTGGAGTCCTGGCCTGTTCAGCATCACCACTGCTGAGGTATCAGGACTAGACCGGGCTCTTCCTCAGGGGAAATGCTCAGTGAGTTCCAGGAACTTAGTCAGCTCCCTTAGTTAAGGCAGTGTGCTTCTGACCCCTGAATATAGTAAACCAGAAGCCAGAAATCGTCTTTTAATAGTGCTTCCTGGCCTTGCAGGAAAATATGTTAGTGGCTCTCTGATAAAATTGCCTCTTTTGTGATAAAATACCATTTTTATCCTAGTGAGTCCCTACCCTACTTTAAAGAAGTTCATTCACTAGTCATCTTTTAGATTCAGATCTTTCAATAGTAAAATTAATTTAAGCTAATGGAAGAGATACTCCCTAGAATGAAGGCAAAGCTAGTAAAAGGTCTTAAATGCCATTAATCTTGTAGGTAAGTATAATCTGTGTACAAAGGATAAATTGAAGCTTAACACTTTAATGCTCTCCCTTTCATGACAGTGTGAGGTGAATTCCATTTCCAAGTCCTTTTATATGCACATGGCTCTCTCACATTCTCTTCAAATGCTGAAGATGTATTAAAGCAAAGTAGCACACTGCCAGTATCATTAGACATATTCTAATTTAAATGAAGACAACAGGAAGGTTATCATAGAGAAATGTTACAGAAACTTGCAGTGACAGAATGCAACTTGGAAAATTAATTTGTAAATGAAAAGAAAAAGAATAATCTGGATTTTATCAAGCAACTTGTTAGTCCATCATTGGATAACTGACTAATTCAGCAAAATATATCCCTTGCTGGTGTTTTTTGAATGGACAAGTTAACAATTTAGGTAATCTATTGAGTTGGTATGAACTGAAACTTTCTGTAGTGGAATAGTTTGACACTAGAAAGATAAAACAAAACATCTCATTTTCCAAGTAGCTATAACCTGGATTTTACCTTTGGCTGGTTCTCATGGATCTGCTAGAAAGCTAGTGATCAGAAGCCCGGACCCCTTCCTTACCCACAATGCGCGCATGTGCAAATACACACACACACACACACACACACACACAAATACCCCAGGACACAAATGTCATCAACAGCCTTGCCGTATGCAGGCACAGAAGCCCCAGCCTGAAAACAAAGTGACTTGGGCCCTGGATCTCTGAATTCACATGAGCCCTTTCTGAATTGTAGGTGCATGGGGCAGCAGGTTTAGCTTAAGGAATGTAGTTTTTAAACTCTGGCATATAACTGTACAAATGACTATTTCTTGATTGCCACTTTCATAATGAAATATTCTACTTCTTGAAAAAAATATTCTTGTTCTTGAATTCCCCTTCAATCATCTGCAGGGCAAACTCATAAAATAGAGGTAGATTAAAACCTCTTACTTATAATAATTTCTAACTTATTATTTATCTTCAATATTTAAAAAGTATATAAAATGTATGTCATAATTGATAAATAACTAATAACCCCAGTACGTTGTAGTTGTGAAGGTTTGGGAACAATTTTGATTTACTTGAGCCTCTGTAAACTTAATTCCTTTACAATAAATTATAGATCAGACCACCAGTAATATACAAGCAAATGCAAACGTCACTATTCCTCCCAACTCTAACACACCCTGGAAGGTACCAATGTCAGTAGTGAAGGGTGAGGCCTGGTAGCTCAGGGGGATGATTGCCTGCCACAAGGAAGGCCTGGCGTTCAGTTCCCAGCACCAAAAAAAAATCTTTTTATTTTATTTTATTTTATTTCCCCCCCCCCAAAAAATCTTTGAGAAGGATATTTTGTTTTTAAAATATTATTAAATAACATTTATTAAAATGATTTTAAGGAAGATATTTCATGCCCAGAATGATTTTGCTAATTGTAGCATATGGTTATATTCCAACAGGTAGTGAAGGATATTTTAAAAAAGAAGTATAAGACCCAAAAATTAGATGCCAATCATAATTTGAAATAAGTTACTGTTCATAATGTCAGGATAAAAGTAATTTTAAATGCTGTTGATAATCTGGTTGGTATTTTAGGATAGTAGGAAGAAAAAAATTAGAGAAGTATTTTAAAACAAATATGTTAAAGACTCTAGCTATGCAGTTCCTTTTCTGGTTACAGAAAGAATCCATCATCCATCTAAAAGAATACATTATTGATCTATCCAAACTTTCATGCTGCATAAACAGAGCTATCTTCTAAGTTGGGGGACCCTTAGAGATATGAATCACAGTCATACAGACATTTAGCTCCTAAGTAAAGTTGCCATAATCATTCTTTGCACTAAAGGGCGAGAATAGGACAATAAAAGGGTGCTGGTTTCCTTATTTACTGAAGGAGATATAATTAATAAGCCGCATTCTCTCTAAGTGATCAAGGAATGCTCCTACTGCAGCTCTCCTCTCATTTGATGGAGCCTGACTTACACGTGGATGGACACCAGAAGTAAATAAGCAGTTCACAAAGCACCCGCTGTGTGCCCAGAGCAAGACTTGTTGCTATGGGGGAAACAAAAATAAGGAGACACAGGTGGGTCCTGCTTCTGAAAGCATAAAATAAGGTTTAAGATATGTTGTACTTCTTGCTATAAAAATTTAAAACTCTAGGCACTAAGTTATTGTTAACCAAAGTCCTTACTTGGTCTGTATCATTTCTGAAAGAGGCAGGTAAACCTTGGCTTGGCTACCAGTGCAGACACCGCTGGTGAATGACACAACCTCAGCATACAGCACCTGGGGGCCACTGGCGCTCACAGGTTCCACGCTAAGCTGTTTGGGAGAGGCCTTACCTTACACAGAAGTGAGAGAAATGGCTCTGACCTGACCCTGTTTGGTTACATTTGTCAAAGATTAAACTTCTTAAACTATATATAGCTTTCTAATGCTTATATATTCCATTGTAATAACTGTAAACAAATTATCAAGGACTGCTAAAAGATCTCTAAACACACAATTACTCTTCATTCTATACATTCACAGAAAGTCCAATTATTTAAGGCTGCCAAGCCCTTTCAGTGCGCTGCGTGGCTGACGAAATCCTCTTCGCCAAGGCCAGTCCGTGAGGTACAGTGCTCGGCTCAGAAGGGTGAACTCAGGGGAGCATTTCCATTGGGAGATTCATGTCACGCAAATGGAGACTCCTGACAGCTCCCCCAACACCTCAGATTCGGTCCCTAGGAACTTTCTAACTTCTAGTTGCCATTACCAAAGGAAAATGTGAGAAGACCTTGGTGTCACACGCCTGCACAGATACACACTACGGGGTGGGAGATAATATACCTGCTGTGTCTGAGAATAAATGGCTCTGGTATTTAAATGAGCTGGCCACTCTGCCTTCACAGGCTGTGCAACTCGGACCTCTGTAAATGTTAAGCTTCCATCAATATCCAAGCTATATAAAGTAGGCAGAGAAGTCAGATGTTGAAGAGACAAACTACGTCTATCCTAGGAAAGCCTTGTGTATTTCTGACACACCATTATTTAATGATACTGCTAACGATGCGCTAATATTTTCCGAAACAATTTCTCAGGCAACTTTATTGTGACTTCAGTGCACATCTTCTGAAACTTCATATATTGGTAGACCACACACTGGATCATGTCATTTTTGAATTTGTACATGTACATTGAACTAATACATGCCGATGGGAACATGATGACAATGTTTGTAAAGTTATAAAACAAGTTTATATTTACAAATACTTTACAATAATTCATTCCCTCCCTACATCAAACCTATGATCAATCAGAATTATCTCGCTTATCTATCTTTCTAGATAAGAAAGTAGAAATCAAGATAAACTATGTAGAAATCAACTCAGAATAAGAATATGAATTTAAGCAAATATTATCTTCATACTTAGGCTGCTTTGACTGAAGCCTAATTCTGGGGTTCGGAGCCTCTGGCTCAGAAAAAACAGAATCCACACAGAACTAGATCTAATTGCTTAGTCAAAGGGTAATGCCACTCCAACACCTGATTTGTTTACAAGATTCAGAACATAGTCCTAATGACGATAATGGAAAGCAGTTATATGTCTAAATTATTATGATCTTTGGGTACTCCAATTCAATACCATGATATATCCCACTCTATTCAACATCATAGTCAACTCTGAATAGTTAAGAGGCATCTTAATTGATAAGACCACTCAGATTCTCGTTAAGAAACAAGTATTTCTTCTACCTCTAAATCTGTAGCTCCCAAGAATAAGGACACTTTTCTGTGTAGTAATGCAAATCTAATTCCATGGATTCTAAAAAACATCAACCTACCTTTAAGAAAAATAAATAGCTATTTGTTAATTTTTGTGAGGAAATAGGAAAAAAGAGTATTAATCTATGTTGACAGATTCTGACAGCTGTCTCCTAAGCTAATGTCAATAAAAAACTATATGATAAAGAGCAAACATTATTTTAAACAAATAACTTTTACATAAAATACATTATCAAATTTGAAACTAAATTCAAACTTTCTTATAAGATGGCCACTATGATATTAGTTGACATAACAGAGACCAAGAATACTGAATAAATGAACATTAAGTAATTTTCCTTTGTGAGTTTTAAACCTTATGTTTTAATTCATAGTTTTACATTTCTTTTAGTAAAAAAAATGAACTTCTGCTAAAAGTCTGGATTATATTTTGGTCTTTAACAAGCCAAATTATCTTTTCTGTATTATTTTTGAAATGTAAACAGTATTACCAAACACAATAATGAAATACATGAATAAACTAAATATTTGCTAACATTTACAATTTCCTAAAATTCAACAATTTCACTGACTTCTATCCTAATAGAAGTAAATTATACTACTTTGGAATACATTTTTATCTGTCAGTTTTAGCTATTCTGTTGACTTTTCTTGTTAACATTAAAATTCATTTGAGCAATAAATCAGAAAGTAGTTTGGTGGATATATATATATATATATTTAATATATAATATATAATTAACCCCAAAATGTAGCCTTTAGCCATTTTAAGCAACAAATAGAAGCAAAAATATTTTACTGTATATTTTTAAAATCACTTCTCATGGGTAGATGGTTCTATCCAAGGTCTGATTTTAATACCTACTTTGTAAAGAAACGTTCCTTTCCAAGTTACTTATAGAAAATATACCTGCATACACCTGCAGTTTAAGATATGTGTATTAGAGTAATACATTCAGTCGTAAATTATATATATATATATATAAAAACAAAGAGCTGCCACTATTTTATACTGCAATAAATAAATGGGTACAAGTTATTTTTCATAAAATGCAAGTTCTAATCAATTTAGGTTTCCAAAAGAGGAGGACATTAAATATTTAAAATACCAGTAATTCCCTCTATTATAGAACACTAGTCAGGTGAGATCTGAAAGAGATTCTTTATTGGTAGCCATACAATTGACTGTACCTACAATCTCTGTGTTTTCTTGCTAGTTAAGAAAAAATATAGAACCTAGACATTTACAACATTATCAATGTAATAATCAATACAGATTCACTGATCTTCTAAAAGTTTGTAAAAAATTGCCAAAGTCATGATGAACACAATTATCGCAGCTATGTCATTTGAAAAAGTAATATAAATTATGCTGCTAAAGACAAAAACACTGAAATACATAAACATCACAGTGTAATACAGCAGTAACTCATAACTATTAGGAAAAACTAAAAATTTAAAACATTACATTAGAGAAACTGGGAAATTTTCATTTTAGCAAATCATTCTATTTATATACCTCCAACTTCTATGATACAGTATACAGTAAAATACTTTTAAAAGATTTAACATTCAAATGCTTAATTTACACAAATAATTTTGTCAATACCAATAAAAGTGATGCCCTTAAACATGAACTGCTCTGCTAATTGTGATTTCAAAATGGTTTCTGAACTTCATTTTATATTTTAGACTCTGGCTTTAGACTACTCAGTTCTGTGCTGACAAAGAGAGAGGGTCCTAGTTGAAATACTGTTCCTCAGAAGTAATGTATATCATATTGCTTGAAACTAAACCACCACATAAAAGTGGTAACTGTTTATCTAAACATTTATGAATGACAACTGGGGTGTATTCAGGCAGAGTGTTGAGTTCATGATGATTTATTTACAATAAAAGTACCTTTACAGATGCTAACATGATATATACGTTTCTATGTCAATTACTACAGTCTCAAAGTTATAAAAATATTATATAAAATACCACAGACTTTACAGGATATAACTTCATGTGGTTCTGATACTAGCAGCTGGAAAGTGTTTATAATTTAAAAATAAATAAACTATAGAGGTAAACCAGTTACAAAACAGCAGAGGACTGCAACAGTCACAAGAGAGAAAAGAACTGCTTAATTACATAACAGCTAACAAAATGGTGAAGCAGTTGGATCAAAAGTTTTAAAAACCTCTTTAAGAGATTTGTCATCTGTCTCTCTACTGGGGTCATTCTCTGGAGTCGGGCTCGCCTGGCCTGGCTGCCTAGTCTGCCGTGAATCACTGTACTGGGGTCTGATTAAGCCTGTTAAGGCCTGGATTGGAAGACTGTGGACTGCCGGGACCTGCGCCTTCCCGGAACCTCGGAGAGCATCTGCCTGTGTGTCAGCAGGCACGTCGGCAGGGACCTCCATGCTGGGAGTGGTTTTCTGTGGTAGGACTGCTTCTCCAGGAGAAGGCTCATTTTTATCACTGCTTTTTAAACTACCACATTTCTTCTGGCTCTCTGTATTTTCTCCTAAGGAAACTGCTGCTAAGTCTGATGTAGAGGATGAACGCTGTTCCCTGGGGTCATACAAACTAATACCACTAAGAACTGTACTTGGAGTTCCCAGTGGAAGGCCAGCTGAAGATGAGAATTTAGGGGCATATGGAGGCAGAGTCCCAGAACCCGCATTGCTACTTATTACCCCTGGGGGTTGCAAAGCAGCAGTGCTTGATTTGGCTAAATGCGGGGCACTCTTTGACGTATGTGACTCCTTGGTAACTACTTGATGAGACTCTACATTAGGCAGTCTGTGAAGCCTAGGATCAAAATTCTTTTGCAGCCTAGGATCTCCTAATTTACTTCCTGAACTATGTAAGTCTCCAAATTGATCTAAGTAGCCTTCTCTGTTGGGTGGATTAATTTTGGCTTTGGCTGCTAATTTTGAATCAATGGAAGCTGTGTTTTGGTGAAGATCACTTTTTGTATTCCATAACCTATTGAGCCTCTGGTCAGCTATAAGAGGGGGCAGAGGTAAATTGATTGAAGATACTGGATCCGGTTTAGGTAAGGGTACTGGAAGTAAGTCTTCTGGAGCCCACACAATGTGTTTTGCAAAGTTGGGTTTGGTTAGGATAATGTCCATCTTAATATGACTGAACTGTCTCAACTGCGACCTTGGGTCCTGGAGCATTATACCAGGTGGAGAATCCAAAGGTATTAAGAAAGCCTTTTCTCTCAGCTCTCTTTCTGTATCTTCATCGTCATCATCTCCTCGTTTGTGTTTGATATTAGGGCTGGTATTTGCATGATGCAAATCAAACTTTGTTCCACCAACAGAAGAGCCTCCATGACCACTTCCATTCCCTCGTACTTTCCTGGGATCCCACACAAGCCTAAGATCCACCGGGACGGACTCAGAAGGTCTTCTACTGTCTTGCCTGGAGATAGTCCTAAGTCTAGGATCAGCCACTTGATTTCCTTTCATTTTCTCTTTAGCAAGTCTCGGGTCTGTAGGAATGCTGAGTTCTGTGGAAGGCTGCTGCTGATTCCTTAAAGTTTCTGTCTGTCTCTGTAATGTTTTCAGTATTGATTTGACACTGCTTCCTTCTTCCTCTTCACTACTGGAATACCAGTTAACTGCATCGTCTAAATGCAGACAAAAACTTATTATAAAGAATGCAGAATTTATATCTGGCCTTATTTAAGATAAAAAAAATGCATACTGTTTCTGAAATAAGTATAGTCTAACTTCAAGCAAATCAACAATAGAAATGTCAGACTTCAATATGGAATGAGATAATATTTGGTAAGAAAATTATCAATCCAGTCATTATGCTCTGTATAGGAACTGGTGAGAGACCGAAATATGTGTTAACAGCCTTTAGGTCACAGAGAAATCAGGACATTTCATTCCAAATGCAAAATGAAACTCAGAAGTGTGTGTGTGGATGCATGAGAGAAGTGGGGGCAAAAACACTTTTGGAAAGGTATTTTAAAATGTTTGGGCCTCTTAAATTCAAGCAATCATTTAGCATCATAGTTTCAAATTTATGACACCACGCTAAAATCTCTATGCCTTATGAGAACACTTTCTGCCTTATCCCTAACGTCGGTTTACCCCCAGCAATTTTAAGAAGGCTAGTGGTCAGAGGTCTGCTCTTCAGTAGAACGAGGGAATTAAAACTGATGCTTCAGGAAGATGATTTTCTTTCTCCATTAAAGCATACACAGGATAGCTCTGAATTGGTCACAAAGTATCTAATCCCCACATTGCAGCATACAATCATTCTCCCTTTCCTTTTTTCCCCCCACTACTCAAGTAGAGTACCTTGGACCAGTAGAATGTGCAGTATTGATATTCTCACTTTTACCTCATTTTCACTGCTCACCACTATGTTTCTACTAATGAAACTTTGGTGTCACAGGATGAGTTTTAATAGAACAGTGCATATGAAACAAGCACTGGTATTTAAGGTGATACATGGTTTAAAACAAAAAATTTTACTCAGGTCTCAGTGTCTGAGAAAAACTACAGAGCTGGGTATGTAATTCACTTTCACTGTTAAAGATTTCTATGAAGAAATTTCACTCCTTATAGTACTTCTTGCTGTACACTAGCAAAAAGAACTTCGTTATGTTTGTGTTATGCCTAAATTATATGACCAAAGTACCTGTATACTGTTCTGTATGCATCATTTTTTTTCTGGGTGACCTAATTGATATGTTAATCAATGCTCCCCTCTGTAAAGAATTGTACATCCCTGGGAACCTGACCTAATTGATATGTTAACCATTGCTGCCCTCTGCAAACAACAGATGTTATCTAAAATTGAGTGCTAAAATAAGTTGACAAAGGATTGTTAATTCCTGCTAGATTTCTCTGTCCTCTGCAAAGGGATACACAGGTCTTCCTCATTCCTTAGCAGATTTCCTGATCCACGACCATAACTCCTTACTTTGTAAACCATGTTTTCTACAAAAAGTCTGGAAAGTTTTGAGGGAGACACACAGCTTTTGCAAACTCCAACTGCACTGTGTCGCTGGGCCTAGGATAAAATAAATCAGCGCTGCTTTTAAAAAATGTGTCTTGCCCATTTTTGGACACCAAGTTGGGGGCTCTGGGGGGCTTGTTTTGGATTACAAGACTCACCTCTATCCTTGTTTTATCTTTATTCTCACTTTCCTATTACTATATAAGTCACATCTTTTTTGGAATGAACAACTATAATAACACAAGGGCAGTAAAAGAGCAGAGCTAGCTCAATTAACAAAATAGAAATTAGACAGGAAATATAGTTAACAGATTTTTATTTAAAAAAGCTGCAAGAGCATTAAAATTTATAAAAGTATAAACAAATCTAGCTATTCAAAATTGTTTCTAGGGGTTGGGGATTTAGCGCAGCAGCATAAGCATCTGCCTTGCAAGTGTGCAGTGGTGACTTCAATCCCCAATACCAAAAAAAAAAAAAAAAGACTATTTCTGTATCCAGAGAAAATAGACTTCATAGATCACTAATTATGTATTGTAGTATATAATCTTATATCATCTGAAAGTTTTAGTTTTCTTGTTTATGAAAAAACTAACATTTTTATAGAAAGATTTTCATTAAAAGTTATTTTTAAAATTAAGTTTTACAACTTAAAGGAGTAAGTTTAAATTGTACAAGAAATTGACTTATTAGAAATCCTTCATTTTCCTGTACTGTTACATAAGAGTTAATATTACTGCCTTTGAAAATGTCACATATGATTTTTACATAATATATTGCAGCTACCTAGACTTAGGTAATTTTTCATCGTTATTCATAATTTCGTGTTTAAAAGTGGACAAACATGATAGTTTTGTAATTCACAAAAGGAGGTAAATTGTTGGAGACCACTATGAAGCAGCTCTGAACAGGATTTAAATTTTACTAGTTGGCTTTCTATGTTTATCTGTGAGTCTGTCCCAGCGATGGGAGCTGATTCATTTGTAACTGAACCTCTATGAATCACTGGTCCTGGTGAGGCCTATAGTGGCCTGTGAGGCCAGAGATATCTCAAAGGGCAAGATAAGAACACAGTTGAAGACACCTTGGCTCCAACACTAATTAAATATATAGAGACTGCAACTGCAGGCATCTCACTCCTGCAGTCTCAATCCCACCATAAATGTTATCTTGGAGATAAGATGAGTCTCCTAAATTGGCATGATGCTTTGAAGTGACCTCTGAGGTCCTGCTCATTTCCTGTGCGTTCCTCAGTTTCCCCACCTTTGCCTTAGTCCTAATTTGGGCTGATCCAGAGAACACTTTGTCATAACCATTGGAGTTGAAAGCTCAACTAAGGGTTTTGACCCTCCTAGAGTCCTAAAAATCATACAATTTGTCTCTTTTTATTTAACCTCTGCCAAGATCAGCAATCTAGGTCAGGACCCGATAGAAAATGTTTTGAAGTTTCCTCATCTTTAACTGTTTGTGGTACACTTACAAATATATATATATATATATATATATATATATATATATATATATAAAGCTAGGGTAAACTTAGGGTTTCCCTATAATCTTCTTTACACTGAAAACAGTGTTTCTCAGCTGGTATGACTACAATGCCAGCATTCTGGGAGGCTGAGGCTAGAGCACTGCAAATTCAATCCTAGACTGGGCAACTTTGTGACTTAGTTAAGACCTTGTTTCAAAATAAAAAAGAAATTTAAAAAGAGGAACTGGGGGCATGGCTCAGGGCTAAGGCCCTAGGTTCAATCCCCCATACCAAACAAAACAAAACAAAACAGTGTTTAACAGTATAGTGGAAGTATGCACATTAGGCCCTTAAAAGTTCATGTCATAACTGAATCATTTTAAAATAGGGCTAGAAGTCAGAATTTCCAAACTAAAACGTACTCATTTCTTGTTCTATTTCTTTTCTTCCTAAAAAAAAGAAAAGGCTTAATCACTTATAAGTCTGCCCACCTAACCCTGCACTCTACCTTCAGCTATACTCACAGTTTCAAGTCAAACTCTTACCATGAGATTATTACAGTGTGTCAGCGAAGCCACAAGTAATCCTAAGAAGATGGGAGCTATGAGTTAAACTGGAAGTAGAATAGATAGCTCAGACTTTCATATTTTAACCTATTCAAATAGATAAGATACAATTAAACAGCTGACACACCTTCTTCCTTGCTTGATGCCCTGCGAGGTTGGGTGCTGGTTGATTCTTCTTCTTGGTATTTCTGAGTCAGTCGGATGAAAAGAGCTCTCTGCACTGCAGGAAGGAGGCCTGGGGCTGGCAGGGGGCTGTGGTCTGTCATACTGCCACTGGTGTCCGGCCCGTTGCCCAGGTGAGGTGAGTCTTGCACAGTGAGGGGCTGCTGCTCGACATACTCCCCGTGCCACAGCCCCTCTGCACACACAGCAAAGGAGAGACCTGAGTGAGCGGGCACAGGCTCCACCAGAGGTGTAAGAAATTCAAACTACACAGCCATCGCAACGGAGTCTCAAGTTATTGTGTAATTATAAAGGAGTTTTTAAAAGTTGTCTAGAGTTCTATTGTTTCCAAAGTTAAAGTTCTACTATTTCTATTGTTTTTGGTGAAATTGAAAACAGTTTAAGGTTTCAATCTCACTGACATTAAAACATACACTTCTAGCATGCTTTTCACAAAAACTAGAAGTTTTACTTTATTTAAAACATACACTTCTAACATGCTTTTCACAAAAACTAGAAGTTTTACTTTCAATTACAAATAAATTATTTCAAAAGATAAACTTACCATCTGAGTTACTAGGTGGCTGAAAATTATGTATAGCAGGTTGTGAATAGTAATTATCATAAAATTCCACTGGATCATGCAGGGACTCATAACTGGTGTTGAGGTGCATTTCACCAGGAATTTGCTGGTACGATGAACCTGGAGAGCAGTGATTCTCTCTGGGTGCTTTCATCACATGTCCTGGAAAGCCCAGGGAGGGGTAGGCCCCACCCATGCACGGTGGTGTCATAGGTACATCCTGCAGAACAAGTCCTCCAGCTTGATTGTGAGGGCCTGTCATTTCGGGTGGACCAGGCGGCAAAGGAGGGCTTGGTGGCATTGGTAGACCAGGAGGTCCTGCACCTGGGTGATGTCCAGGGGAGCCTGGATGCATCACAGGACTACTGCACCCCTGAGATACATTAGGTCCAGAACCTGGACTTGACCCAGAACTATATATATGCTGAGGACGTGGGCTGCTTCCCTGAAATTGTGGTCCTGGTGGTGAGGCACTGTTATAAAATGCTGGTGGTCTGTACACAGAAAGAATGATATTTCTTAGTTCAAAGAGACAAACAGGAACACTACACTCCTAAAGAGATACTGGTTAATTATGACTTTCCATAACCATCTAGAATAGCGTATGTTTAAGAAACTGTTCCATCCCCGGTACCGATAAAAATGAAAAAGACAAAAAAGACAAAAAAAAGAAAGAAACTATTCCCTTTCATCAATAGACAGAATTACTACATGTGTCTTCTGCTTTCATTTTAGCTGTTGTCTTACTTGCTATTTTCATCCAGCTGTTCTACAACTTACTGTCTTACTGTCTTATTTTAGATAAGACAGAAAAGTATGAAAATAAACAAGAATCACCTCTAACCCCACCATCTAGAGATAAATTTTTGACTCATTCTCCTCTGGCCATTTTCTACATGGACTGTTTCTAAAAAACAAAATTAGAATAATCCTACATAAACACACATACCTTTTTATTATAATTTCTAATGGGTCACTGATGGCATATAAAAAGAGCTGTTGAATGCTGTTTTCCTTTCTTGGCGGACACCCTGCTAATTCACTATTTCTAACAGTTTTGTCAGTGGATTCCTTTAGGTTTACTGAGGGACATTATGCAAATACTGAGTATAATTCTCTAGTTCTAATCTTTATATTTTTAATGTATTGCTTTTACTTCATTTACTAAGATATGATATACAATACTAGCACAATAGTGGACATACTTGTCTTAACTTTAACAGAAACACTTTTAACGGTTCACATGAACTGCTATGTTAGTAATAGCTTTATTGTTCCTCATCTACTCTGACCTCTCATCTCTTTCCTTAGTGTTTAAGGTTAAAGAAAAACCAATCAGGGGACTTAGAGCCTAACGGATAAACAGCAGGGCTGGAATGGCATTGTTAGGAAATGACAAAGAGGTCCAGATCATTCAGTTTTCCTCTCATATTCTAAGGAAATGAAGAACCAAATGTGCTGGAGACATTCTCACTATTTGAAGGCACTACCTACGAAAATGCAGGCTTACACTCTGGTGTCAAATCCACCCAACTTTCCCGTGTCACTCAGGGTCACTATGCTGAGAGGGTTCTGGCAGCAGAGGGTGGAGCAAAAAGCCAGGGAGAAGTAGCTGTCTGAGTACATGCCAGATATCTGCTACCTCTCTCAAGTTAATATCCACTCACAGTTAATTTGACATATAATGCAGTATTTTAACATAAATTTTACAGAAACTTGCTGGGATTTTAAAGTTTCAACTTACTTCTTCCCAATTTTATGTGCTAAATCCACAGTAGGTTTTACAACTATTTCAAAAAGAGATGGAATTTTCTTGAAATCATCAGAGAGATCTGTCTGAAAATCATCTTCGGGATCAGAAAAGGGAAAATGTTCGGGAGGGGTCGGCAGGAGCCCAACCCCTGGAGGTGGTTTGGGAAGAGGAGTTATGCCGCACTTCCTAAGTTCTTCCAGTTCTCTTTCATCTTCATTGATAAGCTCTTCATCAGCATTCAACACCTAAAAATAATTGGTAAAGGTTACTATTCATTTTTTAAGGATTACTATTTCAAAACAAGATCTCTTTTTCACATTTAAAACTGTGAAGACTTTAGTAAATGAATTTTGTTAATAGAAAAATATTAAAGTTGAAATGGACCAGATTCAGCTAATACCTTATTTTCAATAAACAGGATGAGGTTTAAAGAAGGGCTATTACTCAAAAGTAAATTATGGTTTTTTTAATAGCAGGGCTGGGATAAGAGCAAAACATTCCTAATCCAATAGTTGTGTTTTTCCCACACATTGTACAGTATTTTTTTAAAAAACACAAATCTTTCATTTCTCAGCAAAATGTCACAAAATATGTTTTATAAAATACATTCGAGCCAAATGAATCTGTGGAGACCCAAGAAAAACATTCAAAGTGAAGAACTACTCACTTTCTCCAAAAGTTTCTTTGTTTCTTTAGTCAGATCATCATGGGAAAATTTACAGTTGTCCCCTTGGTAACACTTGGCGCCACTATGATAGAACTTACATGGAAACTCATGTACACAGAAAGGATTAAGGAACAGACCAAGCAAAATCAAAGCCCATTTTTTTAGACCAAAAAACATAACATTATTAAGATCTACAGATCTTCCATACAACATGGTGGCTGTGTTCAACAATATTGTATTCTACCTTTTAAAAATTGTGCTTAAAAAATAGATCTCATAGTAAATGTTTCTACTACAATAAAAAAGTTGTGCTTATCAACAGGACTGTATTGTATATTGTACTTAAAGTTCTATAATTGCAAATCAATAGGATTGTATTATTATATATTATACCGAATGTCCTATAATCACATCAGATTATTTTTTAAAGTTAAAGGGTGAAACATCTGTAATAGTTACAGTAAATACTATAGTATTTTAATTATGCAGGTTTGTTACTTTAAAAATATTATACAGAACAAATAAACTTTACAGCTAGAAATTATTTTTGTGAGAAAAATGAAGGAGCCATTTTAAAAGCACATATCCCAACAATGAAAACTACAGAGTATTTTTATATACATTTATGGAGACAAACCTCTAAGGACATATTAAATCTAAAAGAATAGTGAAAAATACATCATTTTTTAGATAGCGTTGTATTCAGGGAATACTTGGATGGTTTTACGCAGTTTATCACTAAAATCACACTGACAAAAGTCATTATCATCTTGGTAGATGCAAAAAGAAACATAAAATTCAAAATACTCTCTTTGACTAAAAAAAAGCTTGGTAAAATATGAATATTCACCTTTTACTTACTTTTTAAAAAAAAAAATCTATCTTAAAATTATAGTCAAGAGCCAAAACAAAGACATTCTTATTATGATACATATTCTATCTGTGCCACATTCAGCATTAATCACCATTATTCTGACAGTAGACCCATTATAATTAAAATTAAATTAAAAGTATAAATATAATAAACTAAATAAAATTGTTACTACTTATAGATGATATGACTGTAAAAAAAACAGAGACTGAAAGCTTTTTAAAAGTTTAAAAACATATTTGGTTTCTAAAGAAATGTGTCAAATCTGAACAAAATTATTTTTTCTTGAATAAAACAAAATTATAACAATATATTGATTAAAAAGAGAGACATATTTACCTTCCCTGATAACAAATATACTCTTTTAAAAGGGAAGACAGCAGTCAAATAGTACCATGGATAAGAAGCAGATGTGTGCAAACAAGTATTTAGAATCTCATAAAGATGGCTTTCTGTTAGGACCTGGTAAAGCAGCTTTTTAAAAAATAAATTAGGGGCCCTGCCCAGGCTGGCCTTGAGTCCTGGATTCAAGGCACCCTCCTGCCTTAGTAGCTGGGACCACACAGTACTTGCACCGCTATGCTCAGCCAAAGGCACTATTTAAATCTATAAAGATGAGACTATGAGTCAACCATCTGGAGAAAAAACAAGGTCTTTACTGTACATCATACGTTAAAAGAGAACCCATATGAATTAAAGACATTAAATAGGGGCTGGGGATTTAGCTCAGCAGGCATATACGCCTGCCCTGCAAGTGCAGGGTCATGAGTTCGATCCCCAGCCCTAAAAAAAAAGAAAAGAAAAAAAAAAGATGTTAAATAAAAAAGTCTTTAAAATTATAGATAAAGCTTGTCATTTTTGAAAAAATATACATAATTATATTTACATTCAGTCATACATCCCTTAGCATAAAAAAGTCTGAAAGGCTTTATGTGATGTACTGCAGGCATGGTTATCCTGAAGAATGATATTATTACATATGATTGTTTTAAAAGTTGGTTGGAGAGCTATCAAACATATACCAAGGTAAAAATAATAGTAAATTCTCTCATGCTGGCCATGGAAGTTAAATAATTTTCACTGTTTGACAATTTTGTGAGAGGTGTATCTTCACTTCATTCCTCACTCATTCTAAAAGAGTATTTTATTTTATAGCATATCAAATACATTGCATTTGTAAATGTTTCCATATTTATTTCAAATAAGTAAGGGGTACTTTTTTTTCTTTTAACCATACATATCCTTATTATGAATCTGACAAAATTAATGCATTAATTTAACTAGTACCCAGTACTAGTGTCCAGGTCAATTCTCCCAGTTGTTTTCAGCCCTATCCAGCCATTACAAAATTCCTCATCAGCTTTACACCCAGTGACTTTAGCAGCTATCAGTAACCATTACTCAGATCTATTAATCAACTAGCACTTGTAAACTGATTAAATTGCTAGGTCAGTGCCTGTACAGTGTTGCCAGATACTGCCACTCTGTACTCCATAAGGGCGCACACCCAAGAAAGGGGGATCTACTTCCTTGCATCCTTTCTGCCACAGTTTTATTTATTTTTATAAATCTGATGACTGCAAATGTTATTTCACTGTAGCTTAAATTACATTGCTCTTATTATGAAAAAGGTTAAGCATCTTTTCATTTGATTTGGGACTATTTGCATTTCTCTTCCTGTGAATCATTAGTATCTCTCAGCCTATTTTCTTGTCAATTTTTAGAAGGTCAAATATTAAGTATATTTCCTCTTCCTAAATTATATAAATTGCATTCAATTTTTTCTACTTTATTATTCACCTTTTTACTTAGCTTATAAATGTTTTTGTCATGTAAATGTAAGATTAAAATTTCCAATCTTTTTCCTTTTTGTTTCTTGATTTTGAGTCATTTTCTACTTGCCTGAGTTATAAAGAAATTAATTCAAATATTTCTTGGCACCCATTTTTTTATATTTAGAACTATGATAACAGAATTTTCGTTTTTCATTTTTTTACTTTGTAAATGTTATTTTTTAGCTTAAGAAGATTATTTAAAATTTACCTATAAAAATAAATGTGAAAACCTACAGTGGGAAAAACCAGCAAAGCAACCATGACATGAAGACAAATAAATCCATGGAACCAAAAAGAAAGTTTGTGGGAAAAAAATATGCATATAGAAATATTCTGTTTATGACAGAGTTTCAAATCTGTAGGGAAAGCTCCATTAGTTATACACAGCAGTAAGCAAACAGCTACATATCTGGAAAAACGCAATGTATATATTTAAAATGTACCACTACACTGTATATAATAAAATCCTAATTTTGACAGACAAGTATACAACCTAATGTATATAGTTCCAAAAAAGAAAATAAGAGAACCTACAGTGTTTATCACTGGGTGATAAGATTTGATGAGATTCATTTTATAATTTTCAATAGTGATAATTTCTTATAAAGCTAAGTAAAATAAATAAATAAATTATAGGATAGTATTTTTCTAACTACTCCTTCAGGAAGCATAGTCTCTTGAAGTATTCTAAGCTGATTCTATTGCATATAAACAGTCTTTTTTTTTTTTTTTTTGTCTTTTTCATTTTTATCGGTACCAGGGATTGAACTCATAACCGCCTGCTTGCAAGGCAGGTGCTTATGCCACTGAGCTAAACCCCCAGCCCCTAGACAGTCTTTATTTCATGGGTTTTTTTCCCCATAGGAAAGTAACTTCATTTCTCAATCCTAGAGATGTTCTTTTCCTCAAAAGGAAATTACTTCATTTCTCCAGAGAATAAATGCCAGTTAGTCCTTTTGAAGTACAAAGTCACACTACACTGGGTTTAAGTAATTTCTTGTTTTAAACTTAAAACCAAGCAAAGAGTATCTTGCTTGTATCTATGGTTTTAAAAAACTACAATGATTTCTTTGAAACTTCAACATTCTTTTTTATATATTTTAATAAAGGATATTGTGCATATAAATGCAGTTCTCTCCTTTGGTACAATATCCCTGTAAATAAAATTTGCAGATCTCTTTTCTTTTCTCCAATTCTGCATCATGATCAAATTTACACTGATCTCCCTGTTTAAAAGAAAAAAAAGAAAAAGAAAAAGAAAGAAAAAGCAACAAAATAACAATTGCACTTTCTCCATGCTGTTTCACAGTGGAATTATGATCACTGTCAGTCTTGTACTAATGGGCACAACAACCCCTAGAATTCCTGCCCAGCAGAGGTGGCTGGCGCAGCCCTGAGGCAGCGCCATGAGCAAGGCACAGAGGGAGCCACCCACATCCCACCAGCACTCACTGTTTCCAGCCGAGCCACTATAGAAACTTATTTCACCTTGTGGTGCTGTGTTTAAAGTGGGGATAAAAACAGTACAGTAACTACGTAATGCGCTCGAAGTAAGGATTAAAGCATTTCATACGAGCTGTACTTTGAGCAGCATTTGCCATAGAAGTTGTACTTGCCACAAATATGAACATATTTGGTTATAAAACATGATTTCTGCAAATTACATCACCAGAGTAATTTGCACAGCACAGTATAGCTCTAATGTACAGTACTTTCATGCAAGATAATATTAAAGAGCTAGTTTTATTACAAATAAATGTGAAATGAAAAATACCTCAACAACTCCCCCAAATCTTTAAATTTTAAAGATTAATGTACAAATTAGAGTGACTTAAGATACTCCATATACATTTACCTTAATACATCTCCCTTCCAGGAAGTATTTACAAATTTGTTTTCCTTTGTGTTCCACTGTGTGCTGATTAATAAATTCCTGAGTCATAACCTTCCATTTTTTCCCCGGTTTACTATACTGCAAGAAAAAATTTTTATTTGAATGTAACACATGAAATAGTAATAGATATTAAAATGTACAGTTAAATAGATCTGGAAAACAGTATAGATTGACTATTAAGAGTAACCAAGACAGGACATTTCTTTTTCTTTCTTTCTTTCTTTCTTTTTTTTTTTTTGGTACCAGGAATTGAACTCACGACCTCACTCTTGGCAGGTTAAGTGTTTATGCCACTGAGCTAAATCCCTGGCCTTTTTTTTTTTGAGACAGAGTTTCCCTATACAGTTCAGGCAGATCTTGAACTCACTTTTAGCCCAGACTGGTCTTGAACTCACTGTCATCCTCCTGCCTCAGTCTCCCAATTTCTGAGATTACAGGTAAGATTGTATATTTTAAATATAAATTTACAAAATCTTGACATTTCTTAATAATAATGAATTTTGGCAAAAGTGCTATAGAAATACACTTTTGTGTACTATTGAAAGGTATGTCATAAAAGACTTTAAAATATCCATTGGGAGCATAATGTGCAAGTTAATGAGTCAACTTGAGAATATGGTTCTGTAATGAGAAAGTGAGATATGAGATAATCACATACCAATCCCTGAAAAATGCAATGAACTATACTTGTGCTAACATGGATAAACTTTCTCTTTCTGTGTACATTACTAAGAACACTTTGTTGTTTTAATATTGGATTAGGAATAGTTCTGTTTTATAGCTTAGTTCACTTTAAACAAGTAGAAAATTTCTCAGTACCCATGAGAGTCTTGACTGTGACAGTATAATAAAGGCACTATAAAAATCTACAGCAACTTTAGCAAATTTTAGAACATCTTGCTTTTAAATTTGAGCCTACAAAGGAACCACGTGTGTTCTCCATCCTTGAAAGCTCTTGTAAGAGACAGAACCCCAGAAATAATCTAGTACATCATGTTCATTGGACAAACATGAGCACCGGTGATTTATCCTGATTTATCCACCACACAGTGAGTTAGTAAAGCTGGGACAGAGCTTAGGAGCTGAGCCCGCAAGTCCCTGGTGCTCTGCACTGTATCACACTCCCACTAATAAAATACAACATGAAGAGAGGAGGAAGAGAGAAAGACAGAAATCAAGCTACCTATTCAGTCATTTCAAATGTATTTGCTTTACAAGACCTATTATACTTACATAAGAGACAAGGACATGAACTATGTAGAAGGAAGAGGAAATGAAAGGATCTACCAGGAAAAGAAAATGTACCAAAAGAATCTTTAATAGCTACTGTAAACATTTAAACAATTTAAGAATGTTATGGCCAGCAAACTTATTAATCTTTAAAAGCTAGCCAAAGTTCGCTTGTTTTGTAACCGTTCTTGAGTTTTCAAGAAAATTCATGTGGATCTGAAGGTACCCCTGAATTTATCTGGCCTTCTGGGAATCTTTTAGTCCTGATAGGCCACTGCTCACTTTTGTGTGGCCTGCATGTCCCCTCTACTCTGCATGGGCACCTCTAGAACACGAGCTGCTTCCTAGGGATTCTCCTGGTCATCTCTGGAATCTTAAGAAATGTCTTTCTAGGGCTAGGGATTTAGTTCAGCAGTATAAGCGCCTGCTTTGCAAGTGTGTAGTCATGAGTTCGATCCCTAGTACTGATATTTAAAAAAAAAAAAATGACAAAGACAAAAAAAAGAAATGGCTCTCTTGACAGCCAATAAACTGAAAAGTTGACAATATATTTTAATCTTGATTTTTCTATTAATAATAAAGTAGTTACAGTTCAGATTTATAGACATCTAAAAGATTAGAACTTGAAGGGATACTTGAGTTAATTTAATACCATGCCTTCACTTTATAGATTAAAGACAGATAGTAACCTATTCAAAGGCACGCTTAGAAAACTAGTATTTTTATTTTTTATTTTTTGTCTTTTTCGGTACCAGGGATCAAACTCACGACTGCCTGCTTGCAAGGCAGGTGCTTATGCCGCTGAGCTAAATCCTCAGCCCCAGAAAACTAGTATTTTTAGATACAGGGCATAAGCACTGGATACGGAACATGCTTATTTAGAAAGCACGCATATTAGTTTGGGTTAGAAAAAGTAGCACAGGGGCTGGAGGTTTAGCTCAGCGGCATAAGCACCTGCCTTGGAAGCAGGCAGTCGTGAGTTCGATCCCCGGTACCGATAAAAACGAAAAAGCCAAAAAAAAAAAAAAGAAAAAGTAGCACATTCTAAAGGTCCAGAAAGATGAACAGACAGAAATAATAATCAACTAGAAATTCTAAAACAGTGATATAATTCATAATTCCAAAACCTGTTATTCTGTGGGAAAGTAGTGGCTCAGTAAATGTTAATAGATATGCAGGATAATAAAAGAACTTGCACTCAAGTATATTTTGAAAATGATATATTGAACAAAGTAAAATAAAGCTTCTCTATGCATAATCTGATCAGAAGCTTTAATAGATGTAAGCTGACAAAAATATCCCCAGAAGTAAAGACATGTGCAGGGTTCCACACATATATTTGGGTCTGAAGTTCTCTTTTTAGATCACAGCTATTAACTTTCCCTTAAACAGTGCTTACAAAGTATATGAATAAGTACTTATTAAGAAATCCCTGCCTGTTACGTTTAAATTCAGTCAACAACATGCATTTCACACAAAGTTGTAGCTTTAAATAACCTATCGTTGGTTCTGCATAATTTAGTCAAATCTTACTTAGAATAGTGGTAGAATGTATGAATTGTGTCACTCTAACCCAGAAAGTTTCCACAAGGCTAAAATGCGTATTCTCTATCTCTGTGTCTTTGTTTCTGTCTCTGTCTCTGTCTGTCTGTCTGTCTCTCTCTTAAGACAAGGTCTCACTACATTACATAGTCCAGGCTGGCCTCCAACTCACAATGATCCTCTTGACTCAGCCTCCCAAGTGCTGGAATTATAGGTGTGTGCTACCACACCTGGCTTTGAAATATGTATATTTAGAATTCAACTCAATTCGTACACAATTCAACACACACACACACACACACATTTATTAAATAGCTACTATGGGCAAGCTACCTAAAGTCATCTTTTCAGCAATTTATATCTCTCTCCCTTCCTTCCTTTCAGTGCTTTCAACTCTGGTAAGTAACTTAACATTGTCTCCCAGCTTGGCCCTGCCACATATTGAGCTATTAGCATTTTATTTATTTATTTATTTTTGGTTGAACTCACAACCTCAGGCAGGTGCTTATGCCGCTAAGCTAAATCCCCTGCTGAGCTATTAGCATTTTACCATCACTTGCATCTGGAAAAGATGACTCCTAAGAAAAGAAACCATGATCAAAGATTAGTAGAGAATATCTTTGCTTTGAAACATATCATTTTTGAGGTTCTTTCCCACATTACCTATTTATTTCTAGGTCACCTAAATTTGTACCTCTATGTTGGTACTGTGACTAATTAAAACAGTAACTGCTTCCTAGGGGTATTTATTTATACTCATTTGATCTAAACTGGACCTTTTTTATTTAGTAGAAAAGTGGAATTAAAATCACAATGCTTTCTTTGCAACCAGATACACTAGAAGATGAAAAAGCTCCTCTCCTCTTCCCCTATAAATTCTCAGTACCTCTTGAAAATCATCCGTTCCCGAAAAAACTGGGCCTTTATTGATTCTTCCTCCGCGGTCTTTTCGTTTGATTTTCTTCGGCAAACCACGTCCACGACCAATATTAAAACTTTTAACCCTCTGTTCAGTAGCTAAAAAATTAAAAAGCACTTCAAATATAGACAAGCATCATACCTAACAATTTATGTTCACAAGGAAGAGCATACTTTTAACAGTCTACGCTGTACCACATCCTTTCCCAGCCCTCCCAGGAGCTGAACCTCTGCACTTCACCTCCTCCTACCACTTCGTGTTCCTTTGTTTTTTAAAGGATGCTAACAACAAAAAGCAAAGGATGAGGAATCAGAGAGCTAGTTTTTTCCTTCTTAGGATACGGTAAGATGTTTTTCTGTTGTTAAGAAAATGAAGCACTGTATTCATATTTAAGAAGACTGCAGAGATTCTCTATTAGGTATTTGTAGCAAACTAGATTACAGTTGAAAATTGAGATTTATATGTATACATTTATATATATGTAATCTCCAAAAATATAGTGATTTTATGTTCAAAAAATTTAGCATTTGTATCTAAAATTACACCCTTCTGCAGCACATACACTAATGTAATATCCATCCACCTTTCAAAAAATCTGTTAGAACCTCACTTCACCAAAGTTACACTAAATTAATAAATTTTCTAACAATCTTAAGACCTACAAAACAATCAATAAAAATATAAAAATGTATCACTTCCTTAAGAAATCAAAGAAACGAAATATGTATCTATATTCAATTCAAAGAATAAAGCACATTGTTGGTAGAAATTTGCATTTTTAATGCATTAGGGAAGTATAGTTATAAATTATTACACCTCCCTTATGGATATCTACTTGGTATATGGATCAAAATACGTGGCTGTGCCTTTTGAATCTTCAACTCTACTTTTTATAACTTACTCTTAAGAAAAAATATTTGTCAAGATGTTCTGATATATATATATATGTATTTCAGGGTCGGTCACAGAATTGGAAAAATAACCCAAATGAGAGCAATTTAAATCGCAATTAATTACTGTACTACAAACTAACTTAACAATTTAAGAGACCATAATACATTTAGTAGATGCTAAAAGTTTTTCATTAACTAGTGCAACTGAGATTCAATTTATGATTAAAGTCACAAAAATTGTTTTTTGTTGAAAATACTGGTGAGAAGATTTTCTAAGTTTTTGGAAAAATGTATCCACAAAATAACAATAATTATCATCTCTGGATGGTAGAGATTCAAATTATTTTTGTTTTAATTTTTGATAACTGCTGAGTTATTTCCCATGGGGACAATTTCCTTCAGTAGACCATTTATCACCTTCATTATTCAAAGGCAGACAAAAAATAAAATTAAAAAAGTGATAATTACTTTAAAGGGCAAAAAGGAAGAGCTTGAGAGAAAAACCCCCCGCGTGAAAGAACTGGCCAAGTCTTCCTTCAATTTTGCATTCTCCAAGTGAGATATCACGGACCCTACTATGAATAGATCTCAGGGACAGATTTACCCAATACAACTGCACAGATATAAATTCTTTTCCTTTGAGTTTGTTTAAACCTAGATTCATATTCTTTAAAGGAACTTTGCTTGAAAATAAAAAATAAAGTCAAAAAGTTAACCAAATTTACTCATTATTGTCTCCTCTTTTCAGAGATAAGGTGTGGCAGCTCACTACCTCAAGTTTACCTTGTTCCAGTTTTCTTGAAGCACAAATATCAACTGGCCATTATTTAACATTAATCTGAGCTTTTATATGACACATGGTTTCTTCACCATTGTCACTAGATGGTAACTTGCACTGGTTTCTACAAGAAGCAAGTGCCTCAGCATGACAGATAAATATGTGATCCCTGCAGAAATTTTTTAGATTATGTTTTTTGAATCCTAAAGGGTGTCCACTGCCCTGTGCAGATTTGCATAGCAAATATAATTGTTTTATAGCCTAGTAAAAGGATAGCTTCTCAGTAATCTATCTTTATTGGTCTTAAAATATAATGTAATACATAGAGTAACAGAGATAACTGGATGCTGAAATCACACAGTGGAGAAAGAAATATAATAGAGTTTTCTTATGTTTTATGTACTTTCAAAATCTTAGAAGACATAATTGAAATATTAAGATATCAAGCCTACTGAAACATTTATGGATTTGATCCTCAAGGTCTATAAAATAAAGGAAAATGAATTTAGATACCATACAAACAGCTAATCTTGAGAAAGGGCTAATAACTTTTAGTTTTACACTTGTATCTACCCATCCTAATAAAGTTTCTATATTCAAAACAGACTGTAAGTTCAAACTTACCTTGCTGAATTCCTTTTATTCTCTGTTTTTTCCCTGATTCTTTAGAAAATGATGACCCTAAAGAACTATTTGAGGTTTCTTTAGCTTGCCTGTAATGTTTCAGGTGATTGGCAAAATCTTCCTCTGTCTCATGACCATAGTTACCAAAGTTCTCATCACTGTAGTTACCGAAGTTATCATCACTGTAGGTACTATACTCATCATATTCTTTACTTTTAAATTTTTTGTTATGTTGACCCTTCTTTGATGTCATGTAGTTTCCTGATATATGTCCATGCTAAATGAAAATGGAAGATCATTAATAGGATTTTTCAATTATATGCATTAATTGATAGTAACATTGAATGTCTCCCTTCACCCCAGAAATTTGGAAGAAAAAACCAGAAAACAGTTATTAGTTCTAATTTTTCATTAGAACTTACAAATAATGTGCTTAAAGGTCAGAAAACTGCTACTCTGATGTTATTAAGCATTAGTTGTTAGTTTTTTGTTTTCCATATTGTATGTTTCAATGTCTACATGCACAGGAGTATTTAAAAATTCACACCATCATACATAAATTCCTTTTCTAAAAAACTGAAAATGCCCTTTTTAAAAATAGGGAAGAGCTGGGCATAGTGGCACACTCCTGTAATCCTAGCACTTAGGAGGTTGGGGGAGGAGGGTTGCTGCAAGTTTGAGGCCAGTCTGGGCTACAACATAAGTTCAACGTAAGTACACCATAAGTTCAAATTTGGTTAAGTTGAATGTAAGTTCAACACAAACCTCAACTTCATAGTGAAACCCTGTCTCAAAAAGAACAAAAATTAATAAAAATTAAAAAAAATAAAAATATAGAAGAGATAGTAAAACAATTAGCACTATGGGAAAATGAGTATTTTCTAATTTTTAAAAATCCTCAAATGACCCTATATTTAATGAAGACTGTATGAAAATTTTATAAAAAGAAAATGTGGGGCTGGGGATTTAGCTCAGTGGCATAAGCACCTGCCTTGCAAGCAGGCGGTCATGAGTTCAATCCCCGGTACCGATAAAAATGAAAAAGACAAAAAAAGAAAAGAAAAGAAAAGAAAATGTTAGTATCTAAGATCTAATAGAAAAAAACAGAGCTTCCTCCAATAGTGAAAAACATCTACTGAATAAATTACTCACTAGAGTGTTTATTAGATAAACATCGTTGATTTTATGGGTTCCTTACTAAAGCAGGGAACAACAAAAATATAATTTAGTCCTATGAGTTTATTTATTGACAGCGTCCAAGTCTATTCTTTTTGTTGAAGTACTTTAACTAGTTTTATCACATCCTGTTAATGGTTCTATTTTTTTGGTACTGAGGATCAAACTCATGACCTTGTGCTTGCCAGGCAGGCACTTATGCTGCTGAGCTAAATCCCTGGCCCCCTGTTAATGTTTTTAATAAAGCAAGAAAAAAATTATACCTAATTGCAATTTGACAATCTAGAAAAACTCAAACCATGCCTCATCATTAGCTCAAGCATTTTAAATGTGATATATATGCTAATACTTACCTAACTAGATAAAATTATGAACTACAGGATAATGCTTATCAAATTTGTAAAATGACAATTTAATAACACTTTGTTTAGCTTTACAAACTTGATTATACCGAAGGCAACAGAGCTAAAATATAGAAAAGCTCTAAGAACATAGTTATTTGGTTTATAACTTACAAGAGATTGGTAACACCAAATTAGAAACAAGAACAGAACTCTTATAGGCAAGCATGTTATTATCCTATCATAAAATAATATTTATATATTTGAGAAAAATACTTTGTTTGGAATTGTTTTCTTTTTTCCTCTTCTTTTCTTTTTCTTTCTTTTCCTTTGATCAAACCTAGGGCCTTAATCATGCTAGCCAAGTACTTTACTATTAAACTATTCCTTTAAGCCTGTTTTCTATTTAAAACATTTCAAATAATATTTTCACTTACAGGGGTTGATGTCACCTATCTCCAACATTCAGTACTACTTCATTTCTTAACCGTGCTGCGTGGAATGCTATGCTGTATTGTGAACTGAACGTCCTCCTAAAATCTGTATTTTACTCTAACCTGGGTACCACAGGATGTGACTACATTTGGACCCTTTACTACGGGGATTAAATTAAATGAGGCTGTCAGAGAAGACTCTAATGCAGTTTCATCCGTATCTTTATAAGAAGAGGAAACTCGGACAAAGGTCCCAGAGGTTCTTGTGTGCCGAGGGACAACCATGTGAGGACAAAGCGGCGGTGAGGGTCAGCCATCTAGAAACCAACGAGAGAGGCCTAGAACAGGCCACTCCCTCACAGTCCTCAGAGAAAACCAAGCCAGCAGATACCCCACGTTAGACTCTGAACTTTCAAACTATGAAAAAATAAATTGCTGCTGTTTAAACTACCTAGTCTACGGCATAAATGGCAATCAAAGCAAACTAATACATAATATATTTTTTATTTTCAAAGACTTAGAACTTGTAATACATCTGGCAAACCATATATGCTCCTGTGACAAACACAAACACATTTTTTTTAAAATATCAGAAACAACAAAAAAAAATCATTAAAAGTTTTTTTTCCCTTTAAAAGTCAATGCCTCGGGGCTGGGGATTTAGCTCAGCGGCATAAGCGCCTGCCCTGCAAGCAGGCAGCCGTGAGTTCAATCCCTGGTACCGATAAAAAAAAAAAGTCAATGCCTCAAAACCACAATATTATACACCTGACTACCATTTCCCCCCAAAATGGAAAAATAACAAGGGCCGGTAAGGAAGTGAAGGAGGTGGAGCCCTCATGCACCCCTGATGAGATGTAAGATAGCACACCTTTGTGGTTCTGCAGAAAGTGAGACAGAGTCAGAGGATCCAGCAATTCTACTCCTAGATATGGAGCTCAATGAATTGAGGAGGGGTTCAGGGAAGAATTCACACACTCATGTTAACAAGCAGCACTACACACAACAGCCAACAGGCAGAAGCAACCCAAGTGTCCACCGACAGAAGAACGGATAAATAAAATGTGGTTTTCACATAAAATATTATTTAGCCTTTTAGAAATGAAACTGATATATGCTACAACAGGAATGAACCCTAAAAACACATTAAGTGAAACAAGTCAAACACAAAAGGACAAATATTGTATGATTTCAAATACATGAGGTATCTAAAACAGGCAATTCATAGAAACACAAAAAATAATGGTTACCAGGGGCTGAGGGCAAAGCAAAAGGAGGTGTTTATTACTTAATGGGTACAAAATTTCTATTTAGGATGATTCCACTCTGGAAATGGTTTAATAAGATTGTTAATATACTCAATGCTGCTAAATTACACCTACAATGGTTAAAATGGTTATCTTTTATGTTATACATTTTATCACAATAAAAAAGGCAATACCTGAGAAAATGGAATGTCATAATCCCTGTAGAAACCAGTTCTTTTCTTATGGGAACTTTCTGTATGTTCAACATCTGAATCAAGGCTGTAGTCTGAACTGTCGTCACTCGATGGGGAATTATGCTGAAAGGGAAGGAAAATAAAACATTACATTTGCAAAAAGAAGGAAAATTAACTGATGACTTGATAAAGTTGTTTCAGAGGTGTGACTCAGCAGATGAGATTATTTTGGTAGACTCGGCAGTATTACTGAATAAATCTTGCTCCAAAGGCCACCATCAACTTCACTGAGGGTTTTCTAGGGAAAAGTATTTCTTTTCCTCTTTTCAAGGACCTCATCATGCCCCAAAACACTGAAGAAATTACAGTGCTGTCTATATAAACAAAGTCTCACTTGTACAAATAATAACAATTACACATTCGTACCTGTAAGAGTAGTGTTGGGAAATCGGCATACCAAGTATTACCTCTGGGAAATGAGATTAGAAGAGCCTTCTCTGGCGTTACTGGCTTTTTAAATGATTACCTTCATGTCACTCATACACAAATATACTATACTTTGTGGCTAATTAAGACAAACAAAAATCAAGCCTGTTTCCTGGCTTGTCTGCCTCACATTTCTTTTTCTTGTTTTTTTTTTTTTTTTTTTTTTTGTCTTTTTCGTTTTTATCGGTACCAGGGATCAAACTCACGACTGCCTGCTTACAAGGCAGGTGCTTATGCCACTGAACTAAATCCCCAGCCCCTTCCTCACATTTCTTAAACATGTAGTTCATCCTGTACCCTGAAGCTACCTCCTGATTAACCTCAAAATGCTGCGTACATAGTAAGTCTCAGTATCTAAACTGTTTCTCCCAAACTAGCGCATCAGAATTAACTAGGGATTGAACCCAGGGCCTCTGCACTAAGCACCATCCCTAGAACCACTCCTTACCCCACCCTGTCCCCAGTGCTTCTTTAGTGCTTCTGTCACTAAGGAGCTAGTCTGGGCTTGAATTTGCACTCCTGCCTCAGCCCCCCAGAGTGCTGTGATTAAAGGCGTGGACCACCATGACAATATCGTGAGGGCACGAAGGCAACCTGTAGAAAGGCCCACATGGCAACAGATTATAGGATCTCTGAAAATCTGAAAGAATTCCCTTTTGAAAAGAGTTGGCCCTTGTGCTTCTTAGTTGGAGAGGTTCTAAACTATATTCTTCAAAAAGCCTACTGGACTTTTGACCCTCTGAAATCAATTTTTAAGGTAGTACTTTTCTATAAAATGATCCATTTCATCTTAATGAAATATATATATATAGTCCAGGCTGGCCTTGAGGTTGCTATATAGACCAGGCTGGCTTCAAATTTGGGTTCCTCTGACATCATCCTTCCTAGGCCTGGTATTAAAGTGTGCACCACCATACCCTGTTCTTCCTCTTGGTTTTTCTATTTTATTTCATAAATTTATATAAATAAATCTCTGTTCTGATTTCCTTTTTAGCATATCAAAACTTTTGTTTTCTTGCTTGGTCTACTGGTCAGCTTTCTGTTGCTGGGCCAAAGAACCTGATACAATTTATAAGGAAGAGAAGTCTACTTTAGCTCACAGTTTCAGATGTGTCAGTCCATAGTTATCTGGCTCCAATGCAGAATGTGGTCCAGGAAGCTGCTCAGTTCCTGGCAGCCAGGAAGCAGGATGGGTTGGAAAGAACTAGAGAAGAAGAGGCCAAGGACCACATCTAGTCCTGGAGGTCATGCTTCCATGACCCACTGCCCTCAATGAGGCCCCACCTCTTAATAGCCCATTCAGCTATGACCACCTCAATGGTTTAACCCCCTAAGGAGGTTAGGACCCTCACAGTCCAATCATTTCTCTAGAAGTTTCTTAATGCAGTCAAGCTCTCAGGCAAGATTAACTAGCACAATTAGTGTGGTCAATGATTTATAAACATTACCTTTTAAATACTATGGGATTGTTTTCACTCTGATTGTCAAGTTGGTTGTTTCTTTTGTTTTGCTGCACTTAGGATGGAACCCAAGCCTCATGCATTCTATGCAACTGTCCTACAACTGAATCCCAGTCTCTTGTTCTAATTTATTAAGTGTTGCTTATAACTACTTTAAGTACTCCCTTTTTATTTACCTTATTTTCCACTGTCTTTCTGGGTTTTTTTTACTTTGGTGGCTAGCTCACCTTTTTAACATTTTTGTTTATTTTTACTGCTATGGATACTTATTACTATATTATTCAGATAATTGCTTTAGGAATATATCATACATACTGACATAACATCAAGAAATTGATATATAGCAAGATTTTATCATCATTATTTTCATGAAGTTTCTGCAGTTTAATCTGTTTCCCTTGTGTTTGAAAGGCTATTCACAATATGCATTTAAATTACCAAACAGAAAGAAAGTTTAGTTTTTTGACTTTTCTTTTGTGGTAGTAGAGATTGAACCCAGGGCCTCGCCTTCCCATTGAGCTACATCTCCATGTTCCCAATCCCCCCATACTTTTTTTTTTTTTTGAGACAGTATTTCACTGTCTGCAAATTGCCCAGGCCAGGCTAGAACTTGTAATTTTCCTACCTCACCTTCCCCAAGTGCAAACTGAAAGGGTTTTGGCCCAGATGGGACACTGTAGCCAGAAAAAGCCTGAACCAGAACCTCCCCTGCCCCTAGAGATTTACCTGTGACTCTATCTCCCCCCACCCTTAGGAATCCACCCCTGGCGCCAAACATGTGCCAATGAGATACCTGTGCATCTCTAATGGCCCTAGGGCACTACCCTAAGCTTAGGCTACTTATATACCCCTCCAGCCACGGTCAGCTAGAGAGATCCCTGGACTCCAGCGGGGGTGGGGGGAGAGGGGAGGGGGTAGGGGGAGGGGGGAGGGTGGGGGGTGGGGGGTGTCGGTTATCTCTCTCCGTGTTCTCAGAATAAAGGCCTCTTTTGTTTTATTCTTCATATCTCTTGGAAATAATCCTATCACGAACCACCACGCCTATCTTTTACTTTATTGCATTGAGGTTTGCAGTGTTTCTTTGTATTATTTCTACTCTATTAATTGTAACTTTCTTTATCACTTATGATACAGTCAATTCTTATGAGTATTCGAAGCCTACTTTTGTTTTTTGGGCTGAAGATTAAATCCAGGGCTTCATTCATGCTACTACCAAGTTACTCCTCAGTCTATGTGTGCTTGATCGGATGTTATATGAGTAAGCTTTGATTAGATTCAAAGCTTAATACACATTTACAATTTCCCTTCACTGTCTTACCATCTTTCTAATCACTAAGTTGAGCTCCTTCAACTAAGAGTAGTATATTGTTGTTTCTCCTATTATTAATAAGTTCTATTTCTTCTTCTAGTCCATATAATTTCTGCTTTACGAAAATTGCTGCCTTGGGAAATATAAACATTAATAATGTATATCTTCAATGAAATTATAATATTTACTGTTCTTTGGTTTTTAATCGGTTTTTGAGCTACATTTACTTTTTCAGATAGCAACTTTGTGATTTTGGCCTCCTCTTTCTCTGCCTTTGCATAATATAGCTTTACCATGCTTCATAGCTTTCTTTTTTCCCTTTGTATCTTCCTTTTATCCACAGCTTAGAGTTGGATTTTGCATAGCTAGAGCATAGATCTTTTCGTATTTAAAATGGCTTACATTTTTGCTTCAATGATTGCCTTCACACTGCTCTTACCTAATAACCCTAGTGCCTACTTTGGTCCACACTTTCTTTACCAAAGCAGCAACACTAAAATCAGGCAGTAATCTCTTGTTCCTTCTCTGTTTCATTCCCAGGGTAATAATTTAAAGTAACATCCTTTTACTCTCAGTTAATAATTAAAGGTAATCCTGTTTACCACACACTGTTCTGTCCTTTCTGACCAGCTTTACAGTTGTGATGCTCTGATTCATAATACACTGTTCCTCTTACAGGCATCATTTATTTGTTTTATAAACATAATAATAAATAAATATAATATATAACATATAAATATATATATATATTATATAATATAAATAATAAATAAATATGCATGTACATATAGGCCTCAGTAATTCTGATTATCTGAACTTATTCTGTAACAGGCTCATGTTATCAATATTTCTTCAACTCTTACATATACAGGTTGTGTGGATCCTGAACTTTGCAGGTCAATATCTAGCTGGATATAAAATCAATAGTTTGCATTGATTATCTTATTTAAATTTGTCACTGTATTATCTTTTGGCGCAATAATATTGTTGATGTCAAAAATTTCACATAAATCTGAATGTTTTTCTTAACAAGGGATTTGGGATTTTGCCCAAATGGCCAAATAATTTTTTCCGAATTCTATTTTTGCTGTTGGATTATTGCTTGTGTTATTTTCCTATTTTTAAAAAAATCACTGTAAAATATTACATTTTACAGGGCAAGGGAAATAGTTTAGTGGCATAATGCCTGCCTGGCAAGTACAAGGTCCTGAGTTTAATTTCCAGTACTCTCCCCGAAAATGAAATTTTACATATGGTTGTGAACTTTCTTTCTTTTCCAAGAGTACTGTTCTTTCCGTTATTCTCTTTTTTTCTTACACTTTCTCTAGAATGTGACCATAGTCCTACCCTGATTCTCATGTGCAAAGGGAGGAATCTTTCTTAATTTCAGGGCTATCGGGTTACCTCATCTGTTGACAGAACGAAGTACTCAAAAACATGGCTGAAAGCCAAAGTTGATGGTGCAGACCTGTGATCCCAGCATTTGAGAGGCTAAGGCAGGAGGATCACCACAAGCACAAGGCCAGCCTGGGCTGAACAGTAAGTTCAAGACCAACATGAACTACATAGTGAAACTGTCTCAGAAAACAAACAAACAAAGCAAGCGATGACAACAAAAGAAGGCTGGGCATCTTCTGGGACGTGCTTTTTCTGCTTCCTTCCCCCCATTCATTCTCTGATCATTTCTTTTCTGGTTTACTATGAGTGTTGCTCAATTTAGATTCTACTTCTAGAAGCTACCTCTTCAGCGTATGACTGTGTCCTAGAAAAAGGGACCTGGTTGCTGAGCACGAGTTCATCAGGTCCCGACTAATCTAACACCACCCAATTTTCTGTAGTAACCTCATAGCCAAGTATGAAGCACAACTAGTAAAGCTCCCTCTTGGTGTCTACTGTCACTCACAGACAGGCACCTGAGACTTCCACGCTGGACAGATCCATTTCAGATTAGTGCCTGCTGGAAATCTGTTTTCTGGAGGCACCTTTAACTTCCTTTGCTTCATTCCACACAGCTGCCGATTCCCACCCTCGTCTTGTTGATATCGCTTTGTGGCACCCCTGTGAATTTCTGAGGTTTACAGGGGTAACTTGCTACCCCATGTTTTATAGTTGTTGTTGATGAGTTTTGGCTTTTGTTATCCTAATCTCCTAATTGCTTTGGGGGAAATTCAGGGAGTTTCCAAAACTGCTGCCGCCTTTCTGTGATTTGCCTTTTTTCCCCTAAACTCACGTTATTCTCCATCATTTTATTTTATTTTGATAGGATTATTGATCACTATTTTATTCCTGATAGCATTTATTTTTCAACTGCCTGACTTTCTCTCCTTTCCATTTCCATGTATTTTGTATAAAAGCAAACATTTTCATTTACCATTGTACCCCCAGCACATAGCGCAGAGCAGCAATGGTGAACCTTCTAGAGCTTTCAGTACTTCCAACAGTGAGCACACTGTGGCATTGTGACTCTGGTTGCTACCACCAGCGTAGAAGCTTCTACAATATGAACAGGATGACATATGTGAGTATGTAAGCAGATGGATACTGCTGGTGCTGCTCTGAAGAGTGGGACTCTTTCCCTAACTTTCTAATATCCTTGCATAAAATCTTCCATACATAAAAGATTATTCTAAAAATCTTCATTGTTACCTTATTTTTAAATATTTTAATTCATGAAATCTTTGTTTAGAATGTATTAAAAATGTAAATAAAAATATGATTCTATTTTATTTAAAAAATAGGTAATAATTTATACTTTCTAATTTTAAGTCTTTCACAGCTCATAAAAATGTATTTAAAAAGTATGAAAAAAACAGAAAATAGATCCTTACTAACCTTATGTTTCTCACGTTTCCTCCTTTTGGATTTTTTCTTCTCTCTTTCTTTCTTGTGTTTTTTTCTTGATTTTCTGTAGGTTTTCTCAGTTTTATGCTTTTCATCCTCTTTTGTTTGCTGTTCTTGTGTTTCTTCAAATCCTGCATCATCTATTTCACCATCTTCTAATTCACCATCTTCTCTATAGAACACAATGAAAGTTTTAAATTTTCAAATGGTAGTTCTAAAACAAGTCTGACAGAAACAAAGAAAAGATAAGAACCAACAATTTAAAGATAAGCCTTCATAGACTCAAATACTAAATATTTTACATTTGAAAAACCTTTTAAAAATAAAAGAAGCACTGGGCATGGTGGCACATGCCTATAATCTCAGCACTCAGGAGACTGAGGAAGGAGGATAGTTGCAAGTTTGAGGCCAGGCTGGGCTAAAAAGGGAGCATAAGTTCAGCCTGAATGGCATAGCCCTGTCTCAAAAGACCAAAAAAAAAAAAAAAAAAGACAGACATATTATTTAATAGTAGGGCATTTGCCTATCACATACAGGTCCTGGGTTTGATCCCCAATTCTGGGGGGTGGGGCAGGGAGACAATTCTCAGCAGTAAAAATTTGTCTACCTCTAATTTAGATAAGTAGCTCTGACTCTCCCAAATTGAATGAATACATAAACACAATATACTACTACCCCAAAGTATTATGGCTACCATCCACTAAACTACCTTTAGGGGGAAAAAAGTCTAAACTATATTTGTGGAAACACTAATTACAGGAGAGAATTTTTAACTTAGTGGCCCATAGGCATCAATAAAAAGCTGTTAGATAAAAGGCTTCATTTGGTGGTACACAGCTGTAATACCAGCGCCTCGGAGGCTGAGGCAGAAGGATTGCTGGGAGTTACAAGACCATAGTGAGTTCAAGCCCAGCCTGAAATACACAGTGAGACCCTGTCTTAATAAATAAGTAAATAAATATTTCTTAACAACAAATTAAACTTTAATAACAAAATATTAATATGTAGAAAACCCAACCCACAAAAATGTAAGTTCCTTAACTTGAATCTGTGAAAAATATAATAAATTACACATTTAATTCTGCTTCCTGAATTGTAATATCTTCACTATTATGGAAGCTGACCCTTAGAAACTGAGTTTTATATTGATGTGACATCTTTATAGAATCCAAGGTGTTCATAAGTGATATTTTAAAATGCAGATAATTGATACACACAGGAAGATGAATATATAAAACAATTTAAACATTTAATCATGCTTCCATAACACTGCGATTTGAAAAATGCAAACTACAACAAACAACACATGGAAGTGCAGACTGGCAGCAAATGAGAAGCATCCAAACTATGGTGTATGCGTTTTAGAGGACTTTATAATTATTAGGAAATGTGTAATTTTAAAACACAAAATTGGTGATGTCACTCTTCTGCTAAAAATGTTCAATAATGTTATGATGTTTGAAATTTATTTCAAAATAATATACTGGAGAAACCAGGGACATAGCACAGTGGCACAGCACCTGCCTGGCAGCACAAGATCCTGAGTTTGAGTCCCAGTACCAAAATGACCCACTGGAGCCAGGCATGGTGGTACACTGGTAATCCCAGCCCGTGGGAGGCTGAGGCAGGAGGATCACCTGGCCTTGGAATAGAGTGTGTGTGGCTGGCCTTGGAATAGAGTCAGTTCAAGGCCAGCCTAAACTATATAGTGCAATCCTGTCTCAAAAAACAAACAAACAAACAAAATCTTCTGGGAATACAGGAAGTGGCTTCAAGAATGGCTATGAGTTGGTCATCACTGAAACTATAGGATGTGTATGGGAGGATTCATTCTACTAGTCTTCATATATTTAAAGTTTTCTGTAATAAAAAGCTAATCTTCAATGCCCTTCTGGCCTGAGGATATCAAATCTCCCTGACACTGCCAAAAAGCCCTTTATAGTTGAGTCCTTGCTTGTGTAGCTACTTTCAGTTTCTTACTCAGCTATTTTGATTTCAGTTTCTCAAATCTTTAAGCCTTAAACATTTTCTAAAATCTCATGCTCCCCCTCACACACACTGGCACCTAGATAGTTCCAGTGTAATATTTAGGAGCTAGTGTAGATGTCATTTTCTCCAGGATGCCTCTCCTTACCACTCAAGGTTAGGTGAGAGGTTCCATTGTATGTGCTGCCTAACAACCCCTACCTTCATCTTATCTCTGCACTATGCGCAATATATTCAAAGATGTTATTGGTTGGTGAAACAGGATACATGGCTGCTCATATTACACATACAGTACATCTAGCAACAGCATATCTAGCTATGTATCTCTAGTATTTAGCACAGTACCCTGCTGCTTACTGAATGACTGAATGCAGACTAACCATAACTCCTGCAGTGTAGGACAGGTACATGGTCCAGCTTAAATTGAATGTAAAATCATTGCCATTTTCCCCCAGTTTATATTCAAGTCAAGAGTTATACATTACTTAGATGCACTGGAAAATTTCTTGTGAGATAGGCCTGTCATTCCAGCTACTTACATGAAAATATTCTGAACTAAAACTATAAAACTTTATGGCTCAAGAAAAATCAGTGCATATATTCACCAGGAGGACAAGTATAAAATGCCCTTAGCAGTTTTACTTAATAGTTAAGAAACTGTAAACCCAAATCTTATCAACATATAGACATATAAATTGTGCTTTATATAATAGAATACTATAAAGAAAAATTAACTGCTGATATATAAAATAATGTGTGACTCTTGCTGAATAATGAGTGAAAATGCTAGGTGCAAGATACTACTATATGGTTTTATTTATATGCACTTTAAGAACAGAAAAATTAATTATAGTGCCAGCAGGCAGGCTAATGACTGTCTCTTGGCAGAGTATAACTGATCTGGGGTGTTCAAATGTTCCATACATTAAACGGTGTTGTGACTATTGTATGTACATAAGTATGTATATTTTTGTTAAAATTCATGAAGTAGTACGTACATTTGACAATTATATATTTTATTGTCTACATTTATACCACGGGGCTCAGGATTTAGCTCAGCAGCACAAGTGCCTGCCTTGCAAGTGTGTGGTTGTGAGTTCGATCCCTGGTACTGATAAAAAAGAAAAAGACAAAAAAAAACACCCTACATTTAAACCACAATAAAATTTTCATTATAAAAATGTTAATATCTTGGATCAGTTCATATTTAGAATTTTAACTATAGTTATTTAAGAACATAAAGAACTGAAACTAAAAAGTCTACATATGAATGTATTTCCTACTTTACAAAATCATTGAAGAGTTAAGTATGGGTATTTATATTTGTAATTGGATATAGAACTTTGCAAGTTTTAAAGTTTTTCTTTTTCCTCAGCCTTCTTATCATTTCAGCATTTATACAAGAACAGATATAAATTTATGTTTGTTACAAAAATGGAAGAGATAGAAGAAAGGACAATGGTTCACACTCCGATGAACTGTTTCCGAATGCTGTGAGCATAATGGAAAGAGGAGGAGATTTAATGGGATGGAAGGTGGATTCTAATTCCAGCTCTGTCATTAAATTAAAATAAAGTTTTCTTGACCAAGCAACCAATAATATATCAGACTCTAAGCTAGATTTGTGACCTTAATTCTTCTCAATAGAAATGAGAAGTGCATAGCATTCTCCACATTTTCAATTAGTGCAACTTTATTTTTTAATAGCTGTTTTGTTAACTAAACCCAAGATATTTTTTAATCTAATAAAAAGTTCCTAAGTCAATTATGTATTGATGACTTATTAATTATAGAAATAATAGTTATTATGTTCCTTTCAGGAAAGTGGCATATTCATATTCTTGTACCAAAGACTAGTAAGTACTGTAACTGATTAGTTAATGACTAAAATTGTTTTTAAAAAAGTTTATCAGGGCCGGGGATTTAGCTCAATGGAGCAAGCACCTGCCTGGCAAGCATGAGGTTGTAAGTTTGATACCCATACCAAAAAAAAAAAAAAAAAGAGAGAGAGTTCATCTCCTAGACAAATTCAGAGAGACAGAAAGTAGGTTAGGAGCTGACACAGAAATTAAAAGATAGGGGAGTGGCTAACAATGGCCAGGGGGGCTGGAGATTTAGCTGAGTGGCATAAGTGTTGACCAAAAAACCACAAAATCCCCCCAAAACAAAAACAACAGCTATGGGGTTTCTCCATGGAATGAGGAAAATGTTCTTAAACTTAGATGATAAGAACAGCACAACCCTGCTTCTACTAAAACTGATGAATTAGATGCTTTAACACAGTTAATTTTTTTAACACAGTTAATTTTAATGATGTTTTTAAAAATAAGGTTACAAAAATATTTTCCTTCTACATTTAAATATCTAGATTGGAGGCAAGTGGAGAAAATAATAATACATTACGGTGTAAGTTTAAAACTTTGATAGTGAGGTCAGTGCCCTCACTATCTAAAATAGGTTCTTTACCTAAAAATAATTATTCATTAAATCATTATAAACTGATATTCCTCAATAAAGGATGCTAATTTTCTCCATTCTGGTAGTGTTGCCTATTATTATAAGTTAACTTGAACCCACAAGTAGTCTGTATCTTTATAATTGCTTAAAGGCTCCTGTTACAAGATATAGACCAGAAACTGAGCCATCTACAAGAAACAGAAAGGCCTCCATAAAAGAAGATTCAAGCACTCTTGATGAGTGACAATTCAAGGACATTACTCATGAATACAAACATCCCAGAGTATGCTCAGCACAAAAAGTAGACATTTTTTAGAACACGCCAAGTGAGTGTGTCAGGATTTCTCCACAGTCCAGGAGCAACCAACTTAATAGAATGACTGCCTTTCTTTCTTTTTTTGGCACCGGGAATCAAACCCACGATGACCTCCTGTGAGCCACGCAGGTGCTGTGCTGCTGTGCTATATCCCGGCTAGACCACTCTTCTTAAACCAACAGAAGACAACGCTGTCCTAGCTGTTTGAAACTCCCCATAACATGTTCCTTTATGCTTTTACTAATTCATGCTGTCATTCCTACCTTACCATGGATGATGAGGTAGGGAACTGCTCTGTACTGGTACCTTCCAACCATGCATAGAAGGGTTCTACCAGACTGACCTAAGCCTTGGCAAAATGCCCTGTGTCCTCCAGAATATAGAAAGGGGCCATTCTCAGGTTATACTGGGGC